AGGAGCCTGGGAAGAAGGAGTCTTTGCAGCTCGACAGGGAGGGGGATTTGGCCAGGATTAGGCCTGGGCGCTTGAGCAGCACCGAGGCCCCTTTCACACCGAGAAGAGCCGGGATCAGCCTTGGAGCCGCTGCAGGTCTCAGCTGAGCGTGTTCTCCAGGATCTATGTCAGCGAGGAGTTCGGAGCGGGCATAGGCAGGTTTTGACTCCAAGGGTCTCCCGAGAGCCGTCGGTTTTTTTCTGCCTCCCTGCTGCCTCCGGAGCGCCGTCACGGAGCTGCTCCGGGCTGTGGGAGCCCTGCTCCCTGCGCCCCGCTCACCCGTCCTGCTCTCAGCTCTAATGCTCCTTTCCTGTTTTTTTTTTCAGATTACTACAACTTTCCCCAAGGATCCGGTCTACACTTTTTCCATTTCTCAAAATCCCTTCCCCATCGAGAACCGTGATGTGCTGGGGGAAACTCAGGTAAGGAGCGATTTGTGCCCGAGCTGTGTTTAACGCAGACGTGCCTGTCTGCTTCCCCCGTGCTTCCTGCCTCCGAGGAGGGCTGGCTGCAGCTGTGTCCTTAAATCACCTCTTGGTGCTTCACCTCGGCCCCTGCCCAGCCGCCAGCTCCGCTGGGACGTGCTGGTCCCATCAGGGCCAGGGCCAGCGCTGGTGTCCGGTGGCACTAAAGAGGCGTCGGTGCCGCTGCGCAGGATCCAGCAGGGCTGTGACCTCCGTGTGGCAGGACAGCAGCAGCTTCTCCGCAGGGACGGGAGCAGGGACATCTGTTACCCCGGCTCAGAGGACACTGACTCCTCTTCCTGGACTGATGTTTAAAATCCAGAGGCTTTAAGTGAGAGAGGCCCAGACAGCGTTGAGCAGAGGCAGCTGCTGGACGGCCCCGAGGCACACGCTGATCTTTGCCAGCTGAAAGAAACTTCAGCTGCTCTAAAGCAGCAACGTAGGGTTCCTCAAAAGAGGATGGTCTCTGCACATGGCAGCTGATGCTTGGAGAGATGGGGATGTTGCAGTGTCCGCTGATGGGCTTCAGGAGGAAAATCACATTATCACTCGGTGGGGTGAAAAGTAACCTCTTTTTCTTTCTTTTTCATCTCTGTAGGACTTCCACAGCTTGGCCACGTACCTGTCCCAAAACACCTCCTCGGTTTTCCTAGACATCATTTCTGATTTCCACCTGCTCCTCTTCCTGGTCACGAACGAGGTGATGCCTCTGCGGGTACGTAGAGCCCAGGATCACCGGCCACGTCGGCGCTGCCGTTCGGGGACACGTGCGAGGAGCGCGTGTCGGCCTGATTCCCCAGGCTGGGTGTCAGGAGACAAGGAGCTGGCCAAATGCCAATTCTCCCAGGACTTTGGAAGGAAGAACCGGCATTTGGAGGTCCTTGGCCTTTGGAGGAAGGTTGAAAAGAAAAACTGAAGTCCCCAATTGGTCTGCAGGCTCTCAGAGCGCCGCTCGCAGCAGCGCGTGGGTGGTGCTCCTTAGCACCGTTGCTGACCGGATGGAGCCAACTTGGCTGCAGCTCTGAGAGCTGGAAACATTTAAAAATCTCGGAATCAGAAATTCCTGTTGTAGCAAGAGCGAGATCAGAGCCCCCAGATCCGTGAGGCCAACAACTTCCTGCCGCTGCAGCCCGGCCTCTCGGCTCGGCCCTGCATCCTGGCTCATGCCCAGGCCCCGGGAGCGCCGGCGCCGGCGGGGGCTCCGGTCATTGCAGTGGGAAGAGCGCGTGTTGGCCAGGGGTGCGGGTGGCTGGGGACGAGGCCGCGC